CATTCTGCATATTGTATCGTTATTTCATTTTCCTCTTCGTCTTTCTCCTAAAATTCTAAATATCTATTGGAACGATCTCGCGATCATGTACCGTCCGGAATCGTTATTGGGGTTCTTACGTGATTGCAGGACATGGAGAAAAGTAGGTTTGTATCCGCGAACAAGGGAAGTTAAGCGCTAGCGCTCTCTTTTTTTTTACACTGCGTAGAATATTGTCTCTTACGCTTAGCTATAGAATTTGTTCTCACAAAGGAGACGAAATGAAATATAGTTCGCCATTAATGCAGCCGATCAAACATCTTCCTTGCACAAAATTGAGTCTCGCGTGTTTGTTCCCTTGCCGATGACGGCTGATTCCGAGTTTGGCTTTGTTCAACAGGTTGAGAAACCCGTAACGGAAGGCCTTAGTCACCGTACGCGGGATCAATGGGAAATCGATCGTTCGTCGCTGAAATTCCTGAGGAAGTTGGGACAGGGTCAATTTGGCGAGGTGTGGGAAGGTCTGTGGAACAACACTACCCCAGTGGCGATAAAGACGCTCAAGCCGGGCACCATGGACCCGAAGGACTTCCTTGCCGAGGCGCAGATTATGAAGAAACTCCGACACGCTAAACTAATTCAGTTATATGCTGTATGCACGATGGAGGAACCGATCTATATCATTACAGAATTGATGAGGAATGGCAGTCTTCTAGAATATTTACAAGGTATGCAAGGTACGATTTTATACTTACTGGCCCTTTTATCACTATATTGTATGATAAAAGCTTCTTAAATAATTAAAGGATATTCACGATATTTTTGTATAAAAATATGTGCCAGTATTTTAAATTAAAAAATTGATCGAATATATTTCTACTTTTTATCTTCTTTAACTTTATATTGTCAACACTTTAACATTATATTGTTTGGTAATGTTTTCGCCAAAAATCTGAAGATTTAGAAGCATTTTGCTCTAAAAAGTTGCCAGTTTTTTGCTCTTTAAATAAAAGAACAGATATATTTCTCAGTTTGGTTACATATTTTATTTGCTCATTAATTCTTCAAGGTGCCATCTCAAAATATTACTACAAAATCGATAAAGCTTATTTCTGCGTATCTCTTCGTTACATTATAGCAATCATGTATGATCTTTTAGGAAAAGGTAGAGGCCTAAAACTACAGCAACTAATCGACATGGCCGCGCAAATAGCTGCCGGTATGGCGTATTTAGAATCGCAGAATTATATTCATCGAGACTTGGCCGCCCGTAATGTTCTCGTAGCAGACGGAAATGTCGTTAAGATCGCGGACTTTGGTTTGGCTAGGCTTATCAAAGAGGATGAATACGAGGCTAGAATAGGGGCGCGCTTCCCTATTAAGTGGACCGCTCCTGAAGCCGCCAACTACAGTAAATTCAGTATTAAATCCGACGTATGGTCGTTTGGAATTCTCCTTACCGAATTGGTTACATATGGTAGAATACCCTATCCAGGTGAGATTTTGAAAATAAAAATAATCTCGTATTGCTATATTTAACTTTTAAATTTTTAATTAAAATTACATAAAATTTTTAAACATTTGTAACGTATATACAATTAAATTAATAACATAAAAATGCATTTTATTCTTCAGGTATGACAAATGCTGAGGTTCTTCATCAGGTGGAGCATGGCTATAGAATGCCAAGTCCACCCGGTTGTCCTGACACACTTTACAATATTATGCTGGAATGCTGGAACAAGGATCCTATGAAAAGACCAACTTTCGAAACGCTTCAGTGGAAACTTGAGGACTTTTTCACTATGGAAGGTTCCGAGTACAAGGAAGCGTCTGCGTATTGAATAGAAGATTTCGAATTCTTCTTCCATATTGCTCCATTAAGAGATCCGGTAACTGTACTGTCATCGTTTCATCGACGGCAATCGTTACGATCTTCTTCATTGATCTATTTGTGACAGTTTTCGCGGTACTTCTGGAAAAGTATCGCAACTTTTATACTCAAATCGATCATTTTGCGAACGATCAATAGTATAGTTTTATTTAACAGTAAAGTTTTCTTTTTTTTCTCTCTTTCTACTTCGTTTTTTTTTCTTCTCTTTTACGTTCTCGTCTTCGCACATTCTGTCTGCCATAAATCTTGAAGAATATTTGTACATTTTTATCTGTATGACTTGACAAACGTAAATACATTGGCATTTTGATAGCTTTACCAGGAGCGGCGACGAGATTTTAGATATCGTTTTAGACCGCAATAAGGATGTGTACACATAGACGTTAAATGGCCTTTGTAAAATCGTTTATAAGTGTCAGTTAGGTAGACTTCGATCATCAGGGTGATAATTCCGAGTGATGATGATGGTAGTAGTAATGATGTAATATATTTGTGTACAATATATAAGTTGTACTTTCTGCATTACAATTCCCACACACACACACACACTATATGTATGTATGTATGTGCGCGCGCGCGCGCGCGCGCGCGTGTGTGTCTATATATATATATATATATA